ACCAGCGCTTATCCAAATCGATTAACACCAAAATTTTGTTTTTCATTTTGTTTATTTACTCTTTTTTTTCCCGTAGTTTCAACCGTGATTCAAATAATGGACTCATTCTTTTACATTCTCGAGGTTAATGTTTGAAACATTAGACCCGTACGTTAGATAAATTTTTAATAAAACCCTTATGTATGTATTCTTCAATAAAACAAATTTAATAAAAGGAAAATTTTCAACTGGCTTAAACCCACTTACTATTGTAAATTATTACTATTAGATTAATTATTGGGGCCCTCAACATGTGACATAATATAATCGAATAAGATCAATAGATAGATGTAAGTCAATTCTCTTCTCCAATGTAAATAGGGTCAGACTACTATTCTTGAAGCACGTTTGGTCCACTATATTAGATTGAACTAGATTCATGTTTGGCATAAATTTTTTAAGTGAAAAATGAAATAAAAATGTGTCCCATAGAATGTACATTGACAATGATTTTGAGGAATTTTTTTTTTTAAACGAGCTTTTAACTTATAAGCAGAAAATATTAAAGTACTTCATTTGTTTCGAGTTAAAATTTGTTTATATTCAAATTGCAGCACCAGGCCGACCTTGACAACAACTTTATAATAGTAGAAAATAAGATTAATATTTATAAACATTAAGCTATTGTTTGATCTCCATAATACATTCTTTTCTTTTCTTTTCTTTTCTTTTCAACGACACATCTCTAATAAAATAATATTATGAGCAAATCTAAAATTTTTTCTTATTTTTTAATCATATATTCTCCATCAATTTATTATTCCAAAATCATTCTTACAATAAAATAAGGCTCAAATAAGCAGTAAGCTTTAAATAAATCAATTTATTTTTTTTGTGATTTTTTTAGAACACAAACCTACAAATAAGTCATATGTAAACGATATTGATGAATCCCAAATTACCTTTGTACACTCCCCGAATAGCATCTCTTTTAATGATTTTATACCTCCACCTTAAATAAAGAGTTAGGGAATCAAGAAAATTTGTGAATCCCAAATTACCTTTCAACTCATCAAATGTTGACGTACAAGACAGTCAGTCACCCATACCCCCACACGTACGCTTAACACGCTGATGCTGTATTTGCCTCCCAATACCTAAGCACCCCCATATTTTTAAAATATAACTAGCCATGTTTTGAAAATCAGACAAGATCTGACAATATTGAGAATTGATCTAAAAAAAAGTTTTTGAATAGATTTTTAAAAAATGTATGGTTAGAAAATAAGAAAAAAATTTAAATTTACGTACATAATATTTTATTGTTTGAATATATAGTTAAAAATGAATATAAAAAAAAATGTTTTTGGATAATTTAATTTAATTTAATTTAAACCCTGTTTGAGCCACCTTATTGTAGAACGACAATGAAAAATATAACCGTTATTGAGGTTCACACAAGAGATAGAAATTTGAATTTAAATGTTGATATGATAAATAACAGTCATATTTTTCATTTTAATGAGTTAAAAATATGGCCCAAACGGGAGCTTAATCATATTCAACAACTCATCATAGCATGATCAATCAATCAATTCAACTCCCTGTAGGTCCCCCTTATGTTTTACATTTTCCTTCAACATTAAAAAAAACAAAGAAAAAATCCTCTCTCTGTGTATATATTGAGAAGAACATCTCAAATTTATCTTCTCCAATCAATTTGTCTAAATAATTATTTTAAAGCGTAACATTTTAAAGTCTTACAAAACTTATCACAAATTAATTTTTAATAATAAAAAGAACCAATTTTGAAAATTTGTTCATGATTAAAATGTGAAAGTTGTTACTCTTTCAATTTATAACAATGATTTCAACATTTCGAGAATGGATTAATTAAGCATAAAAATTGTTGCCTGCATGACAATTATGTCATCAAATTTATTACTAAAATTGTTAAGTAAAAATAAAGTCAAATTTATTGTTAAAATAACCTTAGTTTTAATATTTGAAGGACACGATACATTAATTAAATTATTCTATTAAATTTAGTAAAATATTAAACTAATTCAAAAATAGTATAGGATTATTATCTACTTTTTTTACAGTAAATTTTTTAAAATAATTTTACTCGTACATCAAAAAATGTACACTGAGACCCACTTGTATAAAATATTTTTTTATTCAAACGGGTCCCACCCCCATGTGAGGAGGGTGTACACCCTTATGTACATGGTGATGTACTATTTGCAAAATCGAATTTTTTATACGTGGTTATAACAACTCGAAACAATGTAAGTTTTAGTTGTTTTTTATTTTGTTACTATTTTTGGTTCAACAATTCGGTTGACTCAGTAAAATATTAATTTTAATTCTAAAAACTCTTGAGTCGTCTTATCATATTTTTGGATTGTTTATCCATGATATGAAAATCTGTAAAAAGTCAAAAACGAATCTTAATCAAAGTAGAACTCTAACTCGATAGACAAATCTGAATAGAACTTTAAGAACTTGCGTAAATTTGACACTCAAGGTGAAAGTTCTGAGTTTTTTCGTAAACCTTCTTATTTTTTCTCTTTTTTAACTGATTTATAATTTTCTTTTGATAAATTGATTTTCGTCCATGTGAGTTAGCAAATTTTGATACATTAATCTTGACAAAATATTTTTCAATCAGTATTTTTAACACGCGTGATCGTCAATACATTTACAAGTAGTTTAATATTTTTTTTAATGCTATTTGCACACATTCTCTGTGCCTCATCTCTCTCTCTCTCCTCTTTTAATGTAGGTGTCTGTTTGACTTGGACTCACTCCCACACTCAGACAAACACTATCATCAATAATACCATCACACTGTCTTCCTCCTCCATATCGTCTTCTACAGATTTTCTTAATCATACCACACACATCTACAGACTGAACCCCATAACAGAACCACCAACTCGGCCGATGGGCCAATTTCGCCGCCTCCGCCACCAATTTACACTCTCTTCCGCCACCTTGGCAGCCTTAGCTTTTCTTCTAATTTCTTCAGTTTCAGCTCTTAGCCTTAACCCAACTCGCCAATTCAGTAAGTACAAATACAAATTATATCATAACTAATTACAAACGAATTTTATTAACCTGTTTCTGTGTTCTTGTTTCTGAGCAGCTGTTGGGGTGAGGAAGGAGGTGGTGGTGGAAGGAGAACTGACTCGTCGGAGACTCGGCGGGCCAGGATCATGGCCACCCACTTGCAGATCCAAGTGTGGAAGATGCTTGCCGTGTAAACCAGTGCACGTGCCGATTCAACCTGGGCTGCGTATCCCATTGGAGTACTATCCAGAGGCTTGGCGTTGCAAGTGTGGCAACAACCTGTTCATGCCTTAGCAGCATTGAAAATGGACAGTTGTTGTTGCTATCACCGCTCTGAGAGTAGAAGTCGCTCTTAAAGTCAGATTATCAAAGGAAGATATCCCAGAAATTATACGAAATTATCAATGTGGAACGAAATTAAGGTGCAGGATAGGAGGGCACAATTAATTTAGTACAAGTATGGTCAGAAGAATGTAATTTTTTTTAACTGATTAATTATTAATGGTCTGAACTGTCTTAGAAATTACATAGATTTTAGTACTGAATTTTTCATGTAAAAGACAGATCAACATTGGGAATGTAATATTTTAGGTTTATTTTCCTTTATTTTTCATGATTTTATCGGGGACAACAGAATGATAATAACATGTATTAATATTAAGAAAAGCACGATTGAGGAGCAATGTATATTTTTGAAAGAGTTGACAAAGATATCTTGAGAGGGCCTCTCTTTCTTTTTTGTTTTTGTTTTCACTGGAAATTAGCGCATGCCTATTTTGCTTTAGGAGGTATCGAGTTTTGGATTTTTTCCTCTCGATTTCTGCTAATTCTCTTCTTCTTCTTCCTTCATTTATCTTCTTTCTTTTAGTTGTGGTAGCTTATGCACCAGCAAGTCATTATATTACCTTGTTAAACTCTTGAGAAGATAAGCATGCAGTAAAAAATAAGATATATATTGCAAGTCAAAACTGCATAGACAACACGAGATATTCTCAACTGAACAGAGCTGGACTGTTTTATGTGTCATGATTTTCTGCACCTTACAGTAAAGATTTGCAGTAATTTATTATTTGCAAAAATTGTGTTCGAGGTTGTCAATTTATGACTCTTTTAGCAAGTTAGTTCATCTGATTCACGCATCTTTCAATTTCATAGCACCACTATTTAATAGAAAGTTTTCCATTCCATATTTCTTGTCGAAAAGAAGCATCACAAGCCCACGGTTTGAGTCACATTTTATAAAAAAATAATTTTTTCTCAAAATTTTTTATTAATCACATAGTTTTCCATAAAATAATTTAGCACTTGAATAAAAGACTTTTCTTTATTTTCAAAGGAAAATTGTAGTAGCGGTTCCTAACCTTTCACTTTTTTTTTTTTTTTTGCAGATTTTATCCTAACATTCACTTTGTGTCACCCACAATCCTAAACCTTTCAAAAATATGCACCTATAGTCCAAATGGATGGATCCATTTGACCATTAGTTGACTAGAAAAGTCAAAACTTGACCAATTTGAACCAAATTAAAAAGGGTATAATGGTAACTTGGATTTTCCTAAATATTAATAATTAAAATAAAAAAAATTAAGAAGGCTTTAGTGCGACAACCATTCAAAGAACCATTTCAGTTGCTGCCCCCTATTTTTGGTAGTTGGTTTTAGTTTGATAGTGGTGGTTGGCAGTTTACGATGTGTTGTGTGATGGTAGTGGTGGCCATGATCGACCAACCGGAAATGTGTCGACGCTATTGTAGGCTGGGAAGGGGGATGTGGCAAAGGTAGAGGTTTTAAGTAGGGATGTCAACTGGGCTGGGCTGGGCTGGGCAGGGGGCCCTCCCCGCCCCCCCGTCCCGCTAAGAAATTCCCCGCCCCGTTACCCGTTTAAGGCGGGGCGGGGGTAGGTCCTTTCCCCGTTTAATTTTTTTTTTTTTTTAGTTTTTGATAATTTATTTTTATTGTCCATATTTATTAGATTTAGACAAATAATTTTATTGTCCATAATTTTTTTTAACGGGGCGGGGCCCTCGTTACCCGTCCCCGCCCTGAACC